TGTGTGTGTGTGTGTGTGTGTGTGTTCATACCTCATAGAGACAAGTCTGGTGGAAGGGCTGCCCACAGCGAGGGTCATTACACACCTGATCAGGGATGGCAGCTTCAAGTCGATATGAATAGCAGATGCCACACTCAAGGTTGAAACTCTACACGGACAGAGAGCAGTGAATGTGCATGTGCAGCATGCTTGTTGGCACAAACTGTCCTCACACACACTAAAGCACACACACTCCACACGTCACCCCGTAACTCCTTTCTCCCTGCTCATCGTTGCATTTTGGTGTAATGAGTAACTCCTGTTTTCTTTGGGGTTTTTCCTGCAGCTATCCATTAAAAGAGACGATGTCAGAGGAAAGAAAAAAAAACCAAAAATCAACATCTGGTCAACTCAACTTTTTTGCACTCCTCTGAATGTTAATGAAGCGGAGGCATTAATCACCGCGGCGACAGCGGATAAACACGACACCCTTTCAACCCATCCGGAGAGAGGGGAGGGGAGAAAAACGAGGGCTTTAAAAAAAAAAAAAGAAGAAAAAAAAAAAAAAAGAGAGAGACAAATGGTTTTTCGTGATTAAAGCGGTTTGATAGTGCAGAGAATTCTGCCATCTTTGTTATTCTAATGATCTTATCTGTAAACAACCCAATTAAAGGAGAATCGGAGCCCACCTCTAAGAAAAACAAAACACACAAAGAAAAATGCGGAAAGAAACGGGAAAATAAGCAGCAGTGTATGTCCGCCCCCTTAGAACTCTGAGCTCAAACAGGAGAATGTATGCAGAGATGTAAACACACACACACACACACACACACACACACACACACACACACAGATGAAGGGACACGTTTGAAATGGAAAATGGGGCAACTATGTGACATACAGATTTTTCGTGGGTGGCAGGTGATGGGAATTCGATCTCCAAAACATCCCGGAGGTTGTGCAAGACGCTGGAGTCCGGGTTCCTGCCAGCAGACCACAGACAGCTCCTTCACACACTAATTAACCACATGCAAATGAGCCTGCAAAGACACTGGGGGATGATTAGGAGACTTTCACTACTGCTATATAAAATGTAAGAAAAAAAAAATAGCAGGAACATTTGAGCTGCCTCAGACTGTACAGTGGTGGAGGGGAATTTACTGAGATGTGTGTCATGCAGGGAGGCAAATGTTAAAACCTGGGGTGAAATTTAAATCTGTACCCAGCTTCATTTGGAAATGACTTTTTTCCCTTCTTCCCCTGAGTGTTAATCAAATGGTTCTCTGCTCTCTGTGCAGGGATCCACTTAGACACTGATAATGCTCCTGGATGTAAAGATAAAAAGAATTGGAGTTTGAATGGCAGATATGCTCACAAATAATAAAGAAAAGACCAAAACCAACTATTAAAACACGGATGACACTTTGTTATGGACACGGTGGAAAAGCTGCAAACACCACAGATGAGTTGTTCTTGTGTTTTACCCTTTCGTAGTACACATGCTTGTATAAAACATGGGCACATGGTGACAGTGGGAAGAAAAAACTCCCTTTTAGCAAGAAGAACTGGGGGGAGCGAGACAGGACAAAAATGTTGGCAAAACGAAGTAGGTGGGTCCTGAGATAACCTTTTCTCAGCTTTGAGGTGACTGAAGTGACTGCCAGTGACAGCACAGGATACCGGGGACCGACATGACCTGGTAGGAAATCAGGAACCAGAGCCTGGAAGGTGGGAAAAGTGGTCGGTCCATTGAGGCAGTAGTGAAAGACACCTTATGGGCAATTTTCTCATCTGGGAGTTTCACAGAATGCAGTTTTGTCACATATTCACGCTGGAACAACTACTCCATGGTGTCTGCAGCTGTGTGTCTACTTCCACAACAGACAAGAGGGCCTAAGTTCAAATACATAATCTAATATTTTTGTAGACGAGGCCTCAGGCCTGTGTGCTGTTTGGTGAAGGGCAGGTACCATTCAGGGAGTTCCTCTGAGCTTTTTTATCTAAAAACAGCTCACTGCTCTGAGAGTGGCTCAAAATGCTCTCTGTGCAGGTCAAAGATAATGAGCCAAAGGATGCTAAATCTAAGAAAGATAGATAGATGGTGCAGACGTGGATGAGAATGCTCTGCAGGTCCAGAATGTGCTCTTCATTCACAGCGGTTTTTGATAGGAACCACAACACTTGCTTATTATTTATAGTTAAATAATAAGTAAGTGTTGTGCAAGTATTGATGGGTTTGCTTTTTTCCATTTGATTTGTTGACAGTAATGCAAAAATCATATCATAGTACATCACATTATAATGTGATGTACTATGACATCCACCATATTCTTCAGAAAGTGTGTGACATTCAGAGCTCAATTTCTGCTCAAAGAGATTCTGCTGAATTAGCATGTGAAAGCTCAGTGACTGAGAAAACCTTACCACAAGTGCATGTTAGCGTTTAGCTTATTCCTCAGCGGAGTCACCACTGAAACAAAACACAAGAAATCATGTGGAATTGGATGGAAATCAGAATACTAATAACAGCCTTAAATTAGATCTGCAGTCACATTTCAAGCAGCTTCAGATACACTATCACTGTATATAAGGCCTTGGAAAATTAGACTTCCTTTTAAAAAAATAAAAAAAAAAAGCACTCTGCATATCCTCAAACAACATCTCTTATTGGACAAAGGCCCAGATCAGCACAGACAGCGGCGTCACCGCTGTTAGATATGAACCATGGTTGCTTGTGCCGTTCCACAGGGGAGCTTTGTCTCCGTGCAGCGCTCATCACTCTCGCTGTTTGTTATTCCTACATGCAAAAAGCAATATTTCTATGCGACCCCCTGTATTTGAGGGTCGCTGCCTGCCTCCCGTCTTGGTGGCTGAAGTGTGCGTGTGTTTAATATCTTTTGAGTTGCATTGCTAGGCAACAGGCTAGGAGTCGCGTGACCTTGGGTTTACAGAAACAATGGCCGACAATTGACGGGGACTTAAATAGAAAGCTGGAGCCCGAGCTCGCCTGCTGACTGGCTCTGGTGTTGCTGCACTGGGAATGAAGATGTGCCACTCTGGAAGCAGATCCTCTGACACAACAACGCACAACAGTCAACACAACCAGAGATGTGTGGAGAGCAAAAAAAAAGTGCTATTTTCTTTCACAG